TTACAGTCATGCTGTCCACGCAGAACTGTTTTGGCCGACTACTCCTCATGTGACTGGAAAATTATTTTTGCTAGTAAAGGAAATCTTGATAACTATATTGAAGGTACGAAGCAAAGGAGTTTCAAGTCAGAATAGAAGCACAGAATGTCTACCTACATAATCCCTCTACATCTAGATTCTAATCTCCTAAAACAGTCACAGTATTGGCTTTACCTCTGAGTGCAATGTCAGCGTAAAATTGCCCAACAGCCGTCAAGGACATGAGCCACAAAAGTTCTAAAGATTTAGAATTTTTCAGATTTAATGATACTTGTGACCTATTTTCTTAAGATAAATGAAAGCCAAGGGGAGAATCCACAAATCCCAAGAAACTGAGCAGTCCTGACTATCTATGTAAAAATCATCATACTGATTCCCATTCTTCCCTGATGCTTTCTAGGATTAAAAGAAAGGATTCTTACAATTCAAAAATTATCACTGATTGAAGCAGTAATTCTGAATACATAACTGGATAAAACAGCACTGCTATCATATCTAAAAACTACGAAGTGAGCAGTCTGAGGCTCAGACACATCAGATCTAGATCTAAGTCCAGCTGGGGTCATGGCCCTTGCTTTGCATGCCGCTGAGGCCTGGCACCTGCTGATTCTCCGACCACTGCCAGGAGTATCCCTGAACACAAAGCCAGGAGTAAGCTCTGAGCAACAGGTGTGATTAATAAAATAAAATGAAATGAAATCTTTTGTGTGTCCAAATTCAAGAAGTACTAAAGGAGAAACAAAGTGGAAGCAAATCCCATCACCACTCAGTACGAAGTAATCCAACGGCCACCATTGGATATGGTTGCAAAGTCCTCACAAAAATAACGATAATAATTCTGAAATATTAATACTGAAAAAAAAATTGTACAGATTCGTCAATTGAAAGTACCAATCTGGAATAGGATTTGTACCTGATCTGGGACGCTTACCTGGTGACATCATCCTTAACAACAAATGGACATGATACATATGTTCATAATATGTAGCCAGGCAGTGAAAATATAAAAGATCTTTTACTCCATTGTTCTTAATAGTTTCACATAATTCTTACTGTGGCATTTTTATAAAGACATATGAATCAATTTCAAACTTTCCGATAATAACCTATAATCCCATTTTTTTCCCTAGTCTATTTTAGAACAGGTCTCTTTGCCATTGTCAAAAAAGGCTGAGTGATGTAGAAGGGAATCACCAAATGGGGGGGTGTTGGGAGGATCCCCCCAGGATGGGAGAAGCATGCTGAAAGTAGACTCTAGACCGAACATGACTGCCACTCAATGCCTCTTTTGCAAACCAGGGCACCTAAAAGGAGAGAAAGAACAAAAGAGAATGCCCTGCCACAGAGGCAGGGTGGGATAGGGGTGGGGGGGAGTGGGAGGGATACTGGGATTAGTGGTGGCGGAGAATGGGCACTGGTGAAGGGATGGATACTCAATCATTATAAAATGGAAACCCAAGCACAAAAATTTGTAAGTCAACAACTGTACCTCATGGTGTTATGGTGTTTAACTAATAAAAAGTAAGGTAAGGTAAGGTAAAGGCCCTCCCGTTGATCGTCGATTTGCTCGAGTGGGCCCAGTAACGTCTCCATTGGAGACTTTGTTGTTACTGTGTCTGGCATATCGAATACTCTCGGTAGCTTGCCGGGCTCTCCGAGAGGGGCGGAGGAATCGAACTCGGGTCGGCCATGTTGGCCGTGTGTAAGGCGAACGCCCTACCCGCTGTGCTATAAAAAGTAAAAAAAAAAAAAAAAAAGGCTGAGTAAAACTGGCTTCCGGGCATAAGGATATAAAGTAACAAAGTATGAGATTAATACCCAAGAATAGCTGAGATCAGCACCAGGAGGATTACTCCATAACTTAGAGGCCAGCCGGGTATCCTAGAGGAAAGGGCAGTTCAGATAGAGAAGAGAGCACCAAATAAAGGATGTTTGGAGGATCCTCCCAGGAGGGGAGATGCAGGTTGAAAGTAGACTATGGACTGAACATGTTTGCCACTCAATGCCTATTTTGCAGACCACAACACCCAAAAGGAGAGAGATCACAGGGGATTGCCCTGCCACAGAGACAGGGGGGATGGGGGGATGGGGGTGGGAGGGATATTATCCATGGTGGTGGAAAATGGGCACTGGTGGAGGGATGGGTATCTGATCATTGTATAATTGAAACCAAAGCACAAAAAACTGTAAATCTACAACTGTAAAAAAAAATAAAATAAAATAAAGGGAAAAAAAAAAACTGGCTTCCGGGCATAATAGTATATATGCTTAATCTAAATGAGGTACCTGTTGGTAGTTTTAACATTTATTTATCAAGTAAATGGAAAAAAAATTCAGTGCAGCAGTTGCACACAGCAAAATTTAATGCACTAATCAAAAATCTCATTCAAAAAGAACCACAATAAGAATTTAACTAATCTTTCTTCCCCCTAGTTTTTCTTACTAGTGTTGGAATATTCAGTGCTTGCACACCTGTGGCCCAACGATTGCATTCAGTAATGTGGGATGGCTCTGCAGAGTGAACTATCATCCTCATGTTCTAGGTCAAATTCTAGGCCCAAGAACCTAGCTTTTTCTTATCAGTTACTGGTGACTGGCTGCCTCTTACTCCATAAATAACTGAAATGCTTAAGTGTTGTTCATTAAAAATTCTCAAATACTGGACTTGGAAGAGATGGCTCCAAGGACTGGAGCATATGTTTTACATGAAGGAACCTCAAATTTGATCCCTGGTGCCACATGATTCCCCAAGGGCTGCTGAGAGTGACCCCAATCAACGTATTGTAGCCATATATACCTCTGAGTTTACTTATGCAGAAAACTGCATAAATGTTGGGCAGGACACATAATTAGCAGAACAAGGAGGCCAGCAACATTCGTAAGAGTAAAGTGTTACACACACACACACACACACACACACACACACACACACTGAACCTGACCTACAAAAGCACAATAAAGAGCATGTCACTGCCACAACAAAACCCTGTCAAAGACATAATAAAAGGGTAGATTTTTATACTGCATATGTGGACTCTATTACATTACTCATATTAAAGGATATGTGGAATTCAAATAACACCGGACATACCCTAAAAAGCAACTCCTTTGCATTGCTCCCAGTCCTTGTGTTTCTCTAGAAGTCATCTAGTTTCAATTGTTGCCTCTGATCAATAGATCTCCTTGCCTAAATAGTTCAAAGCTGCAATTTGGGGCCAAGAATGTAGGTGAGCAGTGGATTGATCCCGAGCACCCACCAGTGAGCGTTAGGTGTGGCTACCACTGATATGCAACATATTGATAAGGTTCTACTATCCCGTGCTGTATCCACTGTCAAAGTCCCTCATTATTTTGTTCTAACAATGGACAAGGAAGGTAGAGAAAAAGAGATCGGGAAAGGGGATAATCCACAACTCATCTGGATTATCTGGACTACAAATAGTGATCTCTCTTTCTTTTTGAGAATATCACTTCTAATAATACCTTCTTTTTAAAAGAAAACAGTATTCAACTTTACCATCTCACAGAAGTGACCTTCAATCCTTCCAACGCTCTCTTCTGCTGGAACTGGAAATACTGTTTTCACAGTTCCCAATCATCAGTACACTGGAATACTCACAGCCTCATTTCAAAGTGTAGGCTGCCACCTACTGTCTGAGATCCCTTCTTTCACCACACAGCTCTCTCCAGAAAGCAATCAGTCCCTCACAAGAACTCCTTTTGCTAGGTCATTTAGTCATTTAACGCACCCTGGAGACCTCCCAAATTTTTGACAAGCATGAGCAGCAGACCTAGAAGGCATGTGACAATTCCTAAACCAGGAGTTTAGAATAACTGTGCCAGAACAGAGGTCAATATAAGCAGAGAGGAAAGCCCTAAGAAAAATCCCAGAAATATAATCCTATTTTAAACATTAGCTAATACATACAAGCACATTTTAAAATGTCCAAATATGACCTGGAAAGATAGAGACCAAAAGCGGTACAGCAGTCTTTTCTTTCTGTTTATCTCTTAAAAGCATGAGCATTTTTATTTTCCTCTTTAGGATTTTCTGTATCTTTACAAATTTTCTACATAAAAGGTTTCCATTTTTATTGAAAGATTCAGAATTTGAAAGCAAAACAGGGCTGAAGTAATAGCACAGCAGTTAGGGCATTTGCCTTGCACGTGGCCGACCCAGGTTCGATTCCCAGCATCCCATATGGTTCCCTGATCACCGCCAGGAGTAATTCCTGAGTGCAGAACCAGGAGTAACCCCTCTACATCACCAGGTGCGACCCCAAAAGGCAAAAAAAAAAGAAAAAAGAAATCAAAACAAACCTTAAATTCTGACAATAGACTAGTGATTACCAAGGGGCCTGGTTTGGGAAGTAGCATGGAACAGGGCTGATCTGATGGTGGGGGGGTTGGAATTAGACTTTTGATAGGGACTGATGTGGTTAAGTGTTTACAAATGTCAAGATATAAAATTGTTCACATGAAATGTAAACAGAGTTCTACGCTGATGTTACCTCAAATGTTAAACAGTCTTTATAAAATTATTCACATGAAATGTAAACGGAGTTGTACATTGATGTTATCTCAAATGTTAAACGGGCTTTAAAAATATACAGTAAGGAAGAGAAGAACAGTATCCAGAAAAATCAACATGCTACAAAGAGAAAAGAACTAGTTGGAAGTGCCTGGTGAGATGAATATACTGTAGTTTTTTGAATTCAAGAATAATATAGCTTCAGAGAAAAGTGGAACAAGAAGGACCGACTAGAAAAAAATTTTAAATCACCATAAAAGACCTTCACTTCATATGGCAAGCACACAGATGGTTTACAGAGCAGAGGCAAAGGGAAGGAAGATGGGAAAGAAGGCAGGCAGATGCCAAACTTCTCCCCCTCTACTCAGCCACAGATCTAACTGAGGAAAGGTTTCTAAGAATACTGTCAGAAAGAAGGACAGCAACTTACCATATTTGTCTCGCAAGCCAACAGTACATCTAAAGACTCCACCAAAGGCAACATCTTCCCCAAATATCACTGAAAAGCAATGTTTAAAGAACAGATTATATTCAATACTCCTCAAATGTTACTATCAACAAGCAAATGTTTACATATTAAACCATAAAAAGAATGGGTTCTACATCTGCATCAAGACTTCTCCATTTCAACACTCCTGACGGCTTTGTGATAGCAGATGACACTGTGTCCTGTACACATGGACCAACATCCCTCCACAGCCTCTACCCAGGGATGACAGTGATGACAGTTCCCTAACACCTACATATTTATGACAGCCAAAGCATCTGCAGACATTCCTAAAGGTAAGAAAAAAAGGGCGTAGTTGAAAAAAAATTAAAAAATAAAAATAAACACTCTTCTAGAGTTCCATCATGGTTTACCAGAGATAAAAATGTGGACAGAAAAGTAAGAGAGTAACTTGCCAAGTCAGAAAACAAGAGTAGAGCAAGTAGGGCATTTGCTTCACACGAGGCTGATGCGGGTTCGATCCCCAGCATCGCCTATGGTCCCCCAACCATCGCCAGGACTCAGAGTCAGGAGCGATCCCGTCAGGAGCACAGCTTGGTACGGCTCAAAAAAGGAACAAAAAAATATAAAAAGAGAGGGAGGAGGCAGGGTAGGAGAGGATGGGGAGGGGAGGGAGGGAGAGAAGGGTGAGACGGGATCGGGAGGAGAGGGGAGGCAGAACAGTGACTCCCCTCTAGGCTCTCGAGTCCCTGGGCAGTGGTTTCATTCTCTATGGCATGCAAGTCAACAATCTGAAAAGCTGAACGAGCAGTGTTCCAAGCTGAGAGGACAATCACGAAGAGGAAGGTGACTCGATGGTGTGAAACATCAAGGAGGAAAGTAGTAAGACACAGTTCGTCGACCACGATCACGACCACCCTGTTGTTCGTCGATTGCCTCGAGCAGGCCCCAGTAACATCTCCTTCATCCTAGCCCTGAGATTTTTTTTTTTTAAGTGCCATATTCAAGGCTCTTTCAGGGTTAGGAGAATGAGACCCATCATTGTTACTGGTATTTGGCATATTGGGTATACCACGGGGAGTTTGCCAGACTCTGCCGTGTGGGCAGGTTACATATGGTAGCCTGCCAGTTTGTCCAAAGTAGGGATGAGATGATAAGATGTCGCTTCCGGGAGCTGAGTGTGATAATCTCTGGATCCTGGCCGTTGTTGGGGTTACACGGCAGTTGGTGGGTGTAACTGTCTAGCTACTGGCAGGTCCAGTCCCAAACCGTGCAGGCTTGGAGATCTCAGCCCCGGGTCCCACACACCTGGGTTCCTCTGCCAGTTCTGTTATGTCTGAGGCTTATCCAAGTGTGCGGAGAGTGGCCCCAGTAAGGCCTTGGTTGGGGCCTGGAGGTCTTCAGCTGTTGGGCCCTGGCGAGGATAGTCAGACACAGGGTAGGAGACTCTGCCTTGTGCTCTCCCGGGAGCTTGTTGTGATCATCTCTGGATCCTGGCCGTTGTTGGGGTTACACGGCAGCTGGTGGGTGCAACTGTCTAGCTACTGGCAGGTCCAGTCCCAAACCGTGCAGGCTTGGAGATCTCAGCCCCGGGTCCCACACACCTGGGTTCCTCTGTCAGTTCTTTTATGCGTGAGGCTCATCCAAGTGTGTGGAGAGTGGTCTCAGCATGGCCTTGGCTGGGCCTCGGTGGTCTTCAGCTGTTGGGCCCTGGCGAGGATAGTCAGACACAGGGTAGGAGACTCTGCCTTGTGCTCTCCCGGGAGCTTGTTGTGATAATCTCTGGATCCTGGCCTTTGTTGGGGTTACACGGCAGTTGGAGGGTGTAATTGTCTAGTTACTGACAGGTCCAGTCCCAAACCGTGCAGGCTTGGAGATCTCAGCCCCGGGTTCCACACACCTGGGTTCCTCTGCCAGTTCTGTTATGTCTGAGGCTTATCCAAGTGTGCAGAGAGTGGCCCCAGTAAGGCCTTGGTTGGGGCCTGGAGGTCTTCAGCTGTTGGACCCTGGCGAGGATAGTCAGACACAGGGTAGGAGACTCTGCCTTGTGCTCTCCCGGGAGCTTGTTGTGATCATCTCTGGATCCTGGCCGTTGTTGGGGTTACACGGCAGTTGGAGAGTGTAACTGTCTAGCTACTGACAGGTCCAGTCCCAAACCGTGCAGGCTTGGAGATCTCAGCCCTGGGTCCCACACACCTGGGTTCCTCTGCCAGTTCTTTTATGCGTGAGGCTCATCCAAGTGTGTGGAGAGTGCTCCCAGCATGGCCTTGGCTGGGGCCCGGAGGTCTATACAAACACACATATACAAATATATATGCTATGGAGAGCTAGAAATAGCTCAAGGGTCTGCAGTGCACGCTTTGTACGCGGAAGCTCCTGTACAAGCTCCAATACCATATGGTCTCTTGGTTATTGCTCTTAGGGACTCCAACCACCAACCTGTGAGAAGCCCTCTTCCAGCTGGATACAGCTAAATAAAACAAAACATATATGTGTGTGCTAAGGCCATATGTGTTTAGGATATATGTAGGGTTTAGGATATTTTTTCTTCCTTTTGTTTAGAGGCCTTTTCTCTCTCTTTTTTTTCAATCTTTTTTTTTTTTTTGACAGTAAGACACAGTGAGCAAGGCGAATAGTATAGACGGAAAATGAGAGGAACTTCGCAGCAAAGCAAATAATGGCTAGTCAGAGTTGAATGCTTGCCCCATTAATGTACCCAACCAGCTTTGCGGACCACAAGAAAATAACTCCCTTTCTCTATTCTTCTAGTTCAATAACTCTCAGAAAGCACTCAAATCAAAGCAAGCTCTCATTTCCTTCAGTCATGTAATTTGAGAAGACAAAGTCACTTATAGCGTTATTGCAAATAAATTCAATCTGGCAAGCAAAACTATAACGGTTCCCCCCAAAAATGATAAAATCTTGATTTTAAAAATAGATATCTGAAATAAATGGTATTCTCACTTTTCCTATATGCTTAAAAGAAAAAGGTGTACAGTAATTACTAAGAAGCTACTAAGACCACAATGCTACAGAAGAAAGTTAACCTAACCTAATGATATTAGATCTATAATAGAAACTTAATAAGCAAAGAATAGACTTTTAAATTTTAGTATTTTGATTTACCCTTCACCATTTGATGCAGTCTTTTTAAAAATTCAAGAGGCGGGTTGGAGCAAAGGCTCAGTGGGTAGGGCGTTTGCCTTGCACGAGGCCAACCCGGGTTTGATTCCCAGCATCCCATATGGTCCCCTGAGCACCGCCAGGAGCAACTCCTGAGTGCAGAGCCAACCCCTGTGCATTGCCGGGTGTGACCCAAAAAAAGCAAAAAAGGAAAATCCAAGTAGAGGGGCTGGAGCGATAGCACAGCAGTAGGGCATTTGCCTTGTACGCAGCCGACCTGGATTTGATTTCCAGCATCCCATATGGTCCCCCCAGGACCGCCAAGAGTAACCCCTGTGCATCACCGGGTGTGACCCCCCAAAACAAAAATTCTAGTGGATAAAATATTAACCTTTGAGCTCCAGACTAATATTTCCAACAAAACTTCAATTCTAAATTAATAAACTAGCACAGTCAAGCACAAAGACAGTTTACCTGCAGTAGGATCTCTAGCCAGTGAGTTATCCAAGGCACTCGTTATTGACTGGAAAAGATTCATTTTCTGCGTTTGCCCTGTGAAGATTAAAAAAGTAACATTTCAAGTACTGTAAAGTACATTTAAAATATAGTTTCTTGACAGTTGATGACAAGTTCATTAAAATCAAGATAGGAAGGAAAGTATACTTTGTGAATTTACTGGATAATTTTAAATGATATTCACTATGCAGAAGACACGAAAGCGCGCAGACCTCAAAATAGTTGTCTATGAGGCACAATTTGTATAAATCAAACAAAGGAAAAACAAGTCAGAGAGAATGCTCAACTGGTGAAGTGTACACTTTGCATACTGAAAACCTGGGTTCAAACCCCAGGACCACACAGTCCCCAGGAACTGCCAGGAGCAACCACCAGGCTTACAGCCAGACCACTCTCAAGTGTGGCCCAAAACACCCTCCAACTATTTTAATAAAAAACTAAAGAACAAGTTTAGGACTAGCAAGATAGCATTACAGGTTGAGTGCATGCTTTAATAGCAAGAGTCCCAGGATCAATACCAGGCACCTCAGGGTGCCCCAAGCACTGCCAGCAATCCCCAAAAACTAACACAACAAATAAATATATTTCAATATATGAAAGCAATGGTGAGTCTGAAAAGGGAAGAGCAAAGAATGGGAATGGTCGAGATGGCACCATGGACAAGTATTAGGAACCATAAGGAATGCACTGACCAGTGGCATGTATTAAATATATCAGTAAGAGCATATGGTTGTGGGTCATAAACCTATGAGGAAGGTTAAAAATAAACATTAGTACCCTGACTGGCTGGTGTCTGGAGAATGCCTAAACACATCAGATTTGGTTCTTTCTTTTTTTATATATATATATATATTTTTTTTTACAAGCATCCAGAAGTTCTATTTTTTTTATCATTTTTTTTATTAGTGAAACACCATGAAGTACACTTATAGACTTATAAATTTTTGTGCTTGGGTTTCAGTTATACAATGATCAAGTACCCATCCCTCCATCAGTGCCCATCCTCCCCCACCACGGGTACTAGCTTCCCTCCCCCTCCCACCCCCCCCCCCCCCCCCCCGTCCCACCCTGCCGCTGTGGCAGGGCATTCCCCCCTGTTCTCTCTCTCCCATTTGACCCAGCTATAGCACTCCTGGGAATATATCCCAGAGAGGCAAAAAGGTATAGTCGAAGTGACATCTGCAATTGTTTGTTCATTGCAGCACTCTTTACAATAGCCAGAATCTGGAAAAAACCTGAGTGCCCGAGAACAGATGACTGGTTAAAGAAACTTTGGTACATTTACACAATGAAATACTATGTAGCTGTTAGAAAAGATGAAGTTATGAAATTTACATACAAGTGGTACTACATGGAAAGTATCATGTTAAGCGAAATGAGTCAGAAAGAGCGGGATAGACACAGAAAGATTGCATTCATCTGGGGAACATAAAGCAACAAAAAGGGAGACTAACACCCAGGAATGGCTGAGATTAGTACCAGGAATTTTGCTCCATGACTTGAAGGCCAGCCACATGTGCTAGGTGAAAAGGAAGCTCAGATAGAGAAGAGAGCACCAAATAAAGGGTGTTGTGAGGATCCTCCCAGGGTGGGAGAAGCATGCTGAAAGTAGACTATAGACCAAACATGATTGCCACTCAATGCCTCTCTTGGTTCTTTCTTTATCTTGTTGCTCAAACAGAATCTCCACAAGTCAATTCTGTTTTCGTTGATGAGTTTTTGGGAGCAATTTTTATACTTTAAATACTTAGAATAGTGTCTGATATCATGAATGCTGAATAAATGACTAGTATTTACTGTTGGATTGCGGACTTTGTCCATATCCTTTATCTTGACCTTCACATTATTCTAAATGATAATGAGCTTTATAAAGTTCCAAATATTAGGAGTGATATTCTTCTAAAATGTCAGTATTCAGGGAGCTGGAGCAATATAGCACAGCCTACAGGGTAGGGCGTTTGCCTTGCACGCGGCCGACCCGGGTTCGATTCCCAGCATCCCACATGGTCCCCTGAGTACCACCAGGGGTAATTCCTGAGCGCAGAGCCAGGAGTAACCCCTGTGCATTGCCATATGTGACTCAAAAAGCAAAATAAATAAATAAATAAATAAAATGTCAATATTTAGTGGAATGCTTAATCCATATATGAAATCAGTGTATCTGCTGAGGCATGATGAATTAATGATTTCAGTGGCCAATTTTGCCATAACAAAATCTCTGCCACTCTTTCAGATACCCATTCTCTAGGAATCCTGTCCAGCTATCCAATATGGACCTCCATCCCATTCAAATGTCTATGAGAGGGTTTCCCAACCTCTTTACCTAAAAAGAAAATTTCAAGGTGAATCCAAATATCAAGTACATAATCTTTTATATTAACATATAAATGAAATATCTATAAACACCAATGTCTTTTTAAGTGTACAACCACATCCACAATTAATTTTCAAAAAAAAAAAATCTCTCCCAAATGTGGAATAAAAAAGAAACACAATAAGGGGAAAACAAATGATCAAAGTTATTGTAATTGAAGATTCTATAAAACTGAGATTACATGAGAAGCGGCCTTGGGAGGTCCTTGAGACACTGGTTGGGGAAGCAGGCTCTCTGGCTATGTACATCTATGTAGTATTGGAGTGATATATGCATAAAAAGTATAATTAACAGTATTATAAATCCTGGTGCCTCGATAAAAACAGTTTTAAGAACAAAAACAAAAAAGACTCCGATGTATAATGCATATTCATGAAAAGGAAGAAAATAAATGACATCAGGGAATGTGAGGTCATCGAGGTCAGAGGAAGGAGAACGAGGCTGTCATAAAACTGAAGAGGCTACAGAATGGAATACTACCCGGTTGTTAGGAAAAATGAAGTTATTAAACTCATTTATAAATGGATGGACAGGGAGAGTACCATGCTGAGTGAAATGAGTCAGAAGGAGAGAGACAGATATAGAATTTGTGGAAAATGAAAACAAAACAAAACCAAAAAAATAACATGAGACTAATACCCAAGGACAGTGGAAACAAGGGCTAGAGAGGAGGGGTCCATGGTTGGAAGCCTGCCTCACTCAAGTGCTGGGAAGAAGGCAGTGTGAGAGAGAAGGGACCACTATGACAAAGATAGCTGGAAATGAGCACTCTGGATAAAAACCACATGCTGAAAATAGGTAAAGGAACAAACAAGATAACCTCTCAGTGTCTGTATTGCAAAACCCGTAAGGAGAGGGGTGGGGGGGGGGGGGGAGAGAGAGAGAGAGAGAGAGAGAGAGAGAGAGAGAGAGAGAGAATCTGCTATAGAATCAGGCAACGAGGGTACAGGAGGGAAACTGGGGACACTGGTGGTAGGAAATACGCAAGGGTAGAGGGATAGGTATTGGAACACTGTGTGACTGAAACCAAACCATGATCATCTTTGTAACTGTGTGTCTCATGATGCTTCAATAAAAATAAATAATTTTTTAAAAATTAAATTAAATTAAAAAAACTGAGGCTGCCTGTTCTCTCGGAGCAGAGAGAATCTATTTTGGGTATTAGCCTGCCCCCATTCTGCTGGCTCATTCTCTATTCACGCTAAATGGTTTTTATAATCCCCCCAATATGCCAACAGCTCCCAAATGGGTATCCATTCTGAGCCCCTGACTTCATAACAAATACTCGCAAGTCTCCACTTCTGTGTCTTAACTTTTTCTTACTCACTGAATACGGGACATCACTACTAATATCTGCTCCCCATTTCACCAAAAGGCACTCTCTTCCAGCCAACTCCCTGAGCCAGAAACCAAGGACATATCCTTGAATGTTTTCCTCTTGTTCATTTTTATTATCCATCAAATGCTACATTCCAAAAATATTTCTTCCAAAATAAATATAGTATCTTTATATTTTATCTTCAGAATTCACCATCTCCTTCCTGTTTCAGGAAATTGCCTCCTAAAAGCACTGTAGACATCCGGGCTATTTAAACAAAATACCAAAGACTGGGGAATTTAAACAACAGAAATTCAGTTTTCACTCCACTGAAGGGTGGGAATTCCTTGTGACAAAATCTTACTGATTTCTGGGTCATCATCTAGCTGTATCCCCAAAAGACAAAGAATTTCCCTCGTGCCTGGTTTTTGTTGCTTCTGTTTGTCTGTTTGTTTGTTTTGTCTTTCTTTGGGGTCACACTAGAGGTGTTCAAGACTTACTTCTGGCTCTGTGTTCTGGGTTGAATCCTGACAGTGCTTGGGGGACCATATGTGATGCTAGGATCAACCCAGGGCCAGTCACATACGAGAAAAGTACCTTAATCTCTGCACTACCTCTCCCTGCATATACCCTTCCTTATGCCTGCTCTTCTGAGGGCTCTAATTCCATTCATGCAAATTCAGCGCGCATGATGACTCATTTCCAAATATGATTACACTGCAAATTAGGACTACAATAGAGGAAAACGAGCAACAAAAGGACAGAATCAGAGCAACGGTCCACAGCACCACCTTGTCTTTCTCCCCTCCAAATCATTCATCCAAGAGCTCTATAACAAGACTCCTAGAAAGCAAAACAGGCCATGGTTATTCTCTACTTAAAACCTCTCAAAGGGCTTTTGCTCTCTATAACCAAGCCCCATTCCTTAATCATGTCTTGTTCCTTAACATGCACACGGACTGTGCCTGATCTCATCCCTGCCTGCCCAACTTAAGAGTACCACTTTGACCGCTCTCCTCAAGGCTCACCACTTGAATTTGTTCTCAATTCCCCGAAATCTGCCACTTCCAGCCCCTCACACATGTTGCTCCCTCTGCTGGCACTGACTTCACATCTCCTTCAGTGCTTCTTTTGATCCCTCAGAATTTGGTCAAAGTCTCCATTAGGAGACTTGCTAGGTCTTCTCTTTTCTCCATCTGACATTTGTCTCAAGCTTGTTTATTGCAAAGTGGATTTACTTAAGTATGTATTTACTTGCTATTTTTGTCCACTTTCCCCACTAGACTAAAAATTCCATGGCCCGTATCCATATTCTAAAAAACATATGGCATCGAGTTGATTGCG